CCCCAAAACCCCAAAACCCCATGTGTTAAAAATTGCCAATGCATTCGAACTTCGAATTTAAAATTTCATCATTTTAAAACTATTTTCTGATCAAATTGATAAAATTAGTACTTATTCTGATTAGATTGATAAAATTAGTACTTAAACCCTAATTTTCACTCTTATATTATAAATTAATAAAAAAACTAAAGAAATGTTGAGTCCTAAAGCATCTCAAATTCAACAGCCATTGCTAGAAATACAGAGTTATCCAGATATAAGCTCGCCTGTTGAAATAAAGAAGGAAACCAAACATGAGGAAAATGAGAATGGAGCTCCTATTCTGGAAGAATAAAACAATGCTAAGCCTGATGATAAAAAGATCATAAATCCCCTTCCTTCAGAATATCGATGGATATTGGAGAATCATAATGAGTCTGATTACTCTAAGATAGAGGGAAGGATTAAAAGTAAAAGTTTCCCCTTGAGATTTGAAGAAGAAGTTGATGAAGAATAAGATTATTATGCAAATCATTCAGAAGAAGAAGTAAAAAACCGAATAAAAGTTGAATTTGCGGTTGTATAAATCATCATGCTAGGTCATAGAAATAGACTTTTAGTAGAATATTCTTATGGTAAAAATAAAGTGAACAGAGCTATTGATTACATAAATTTTGATACCTAAGAAATCATAAAAACTATTTACTTACAAAAAGTTAATATAAAAAGTAAAATTTTCCACAGAATCTTCAATGATATTGATTTTATCTTTTATCAAGAAGGTTAGTAAGTATTCTTAATGAAACTTGATGACTTCATTGAATAAAACCAAGATAAACATTTGATTTAATTTAATTTCTTTGAATGTTGAAGGTTCTACAATGTAGATATCATTGATGAATTCAGTATTTTGATTATATATTATGATTTTACATATTTATTTAAACTTGATGGTACTTCTCTAATATAGTTGAATTTAGATCATAAAATTAAATATGAAATTAGATATATGACATATAATTAGTACAAAGAATAATTAGTAATTTAAAATCAGAAATTGTTTATAAAGCATGAGTACTAAAGTTTCTATCAGTTAAGTCTTAGCAATTATAGTGAACATTACTACCAACTAAAAAATCACTATATTTTTTAAAGTAAAAGGGGTGATAAAACAAACATTGTAGATAAAAATTCACTTGAAATTGTTAAATAATTTGATAAATTGTATTATTCTATCAATTATTTAGACATGTATGAGTATGTTATAGACTAAGATTTCAATATTTATGACTGTAGCTATCAAGATGGTTTTACTTTGAAAAAATTACGCTAATTATATAGTTCTAGCATTAAGAAGATGTAAAAAATTACAAGTACCTCTAGCTAAATCATCATATTATCAGATAATTAAGATATTGACTTTACCCTTCTTGTATTTGATTCTAAGACCTTTTAATTAATTGATTAATTTCAAACTGATAATTTTATTGAAATAGACACTCTAAGCAATAGGTTTTATTATCGAGATCCTATCATCAAGGAGTAGGTAAATTATATTAACTATAACACAAACTAGAGATTGTGTTATAATATTGCTCCAGTATAAAAACAATGATAGTTAATAAAATAGGAAGATTTTAAATTTTTGGTAAAAAACTTCTTTGCTTACAAA